CCTTTATTTAAATTTCAGTGATCGTGATAGCAAAACAGGACGTGGCTACATAATAGTGCGCCAACATCTAACTAATTCGCTAGATGTGGTCACATCTTTATAGCCTTTGATTTTTCGAAACATTACGCAAAAAATTATTATTAAAAAAACAAAATACCCGACTGCACACTAAAAAAAGAGTAAAACAAGCCCCACAATAATATTGATCAATCAAATGCTAAAAACTAATTATGTAATACCGTTTAAACAATACCTATATTAAAATACACTACAATATGTGTTCGTAATCGATAGTTAAATAAACAGAAACTTATTTTGAATACAAATTTACTGAATATAATTTATAAATGTTGATGGAAAGCATCGCAGGCGGGGACCAACAGAGGCTTATTTATAGTCATTTCGGTTGTGCACCATTTAGCAGAATTTTCGTTGGTGGCGGTCAAGGTGGTCCCCGCCTGCGATGCTTTCCATCAACATTTATAAATTATATTCAGTAAATTTGTATTCAAAATAAGTTTCTGTTTATTTAACTATCGATTACGAACACATATTGTAGTGTATTTTAATATAGGTATTGTTTAAACGGTATTACATAATTAGTTTTTAGCATTTGATTGATCAATATTATTGTGGGGCTTGTTTTACTCTTTTTTTAGTGTGCAGTCGGGTATTTTGTTTTTTTAATAATAATTTTTTTATTTATAACTTTTTAGCTGTTTTTATTTAACGAAAATGTTGTAGATGTAGAAGACTATCGTCAACGACGTGTGCCCTCATGCGTGTGCCCGCAATCGGGCTGTATACTCGAGCATATCCCCCTCCGCACCGCGCCGCGCGCCGCATGCCAGGCCACGCCCTATCTTTTTGCTTGCTAACGCATGAGTTGCTTTGCGTTGACGCAGAATTAACATGTTCCCGTGGAAAAAAAAAAAAAAAACGTATCCTATATTAATTACTCCCGTGATTGAAATGAATCTAATGATACCGCATACATATTTTTTTAAAGGGAAATTTAGAAAAAATATTATTATGTCTTTATCCCGTGGGACTTTTAGGATAAAATGTATCCTATGACACTCCCGTAATCAAGACAAATCTAACGATACCTCATACATCAAAATCCATCAAGCCGTTTAGGCTACAGGTGGTCACAAAGGAAAAGACATACATACATACTTACATACATACAGTCGGGTAAAAACATTACCCTCCTTCTTTGGCAGTCGGGTAAAAATACAGATTTTTTTCCATTTTCGTAGGAGTTTTATTGAATACTATTTAGGTGCTTGAAGTTTCTTTGGTATTGCTCCTAGAATTTATAATAAAATACCAGATCAAATAAAACAATTACCTGTCCACAAATTTACGAAAACTTTGCAAAAAAATTTAACTCGTCGAGTACCGGTTTTATAGACACAATTAAAGAACAATAGGTCGCGGTCACCGGTGACCGCTTGGTGTTTGACAGTTTAATTGACAAATGTTATTACACAGTTGACGATTTCTTAAATGATTAAATTCCTGCCTACAATGTTATTTTTATTATCTTCAGTATTTACTAACTTTATTATTTTTTTAATTGTGTCAATTTTTAATTATGACATTTTGTTAAATTGTAACATGTTTATTTCTTATTGTAAGCCACAAAAGTATCTTAACTTAAACTGCAAAATATATTTGTATGTCTTAGCATAGACAAAACATAGCGCACTGTAATTTACCTTTAAGATCTGTATTTTTGTTACCTATGTTTTACAAATAATAAATGATTCATTGATTGATTGATTGTGCTTCCTTATATTTCTTTAATTTAGCTAGCCTCGATATGAAGCTTTACACGACTAAAACCTAAGGAATGAAATTCTTTGCCAGTCTGTGTTTTCTGAAGAGGTTAACAAGGGTGTCTTCATTTCAAGGCCTAAGTGAATAGTTCGCGTTTGGGCAGGCGTGCTTCGTCGTGGGCCGCATCATAGCACCACCAGGCGAGATAGTGGCCAAGTCAAATGCGGAATTATTTCCAATACAAAAAAGACAATTTATTATAACCATGCGTTGGAAGTGTGGTATACAAATTACCTGTGTTTGAACGGAAATATCTTGAAGCATTAGGTGTCGAAAGTAGATAAGTGACACACTCTACCTATAGATAGTATCTAGTCCCTTGTTATTCACACAGGTGCAATACACGTACCTACTCGATATTGATAAGAAATAGTCAATTGTAGGTAATGGCTTCATGATTAGGTAGCTGTAATTCCTAAAAAAATGTGTTGGACGGATATGAATAAGAATGTTTATTTGCATGAAGTATGGTAATTACAGGTGATAATGAATATAAAAAATAGTCCCACATACATCGCCTACTGTTTTCAGCATACAAAGTTACATGTTACAATAATAAAGTTAAAATGTATGTGCTGCTTGACAAGTATTAATTTGACTCAGATAGTTTATTTAATAATGTTTCAAAACGCCTGGTAGACGTATCTCTTGACCAGAGGGCTGGTCTGTTTCTCGGTCAGAGGTTAAGCATTGCCATACAACGTGGCAATCATGCCAGCCTTCTGGGTACTTTCCCAGCTCTGAAATCGATGCGGATGAATTTTTTGACACTCTTGTAAATAGTTTTTTTTCTTTGGCAACCGAGTCTCCAATACTTGTAAATAGATATTTTTAGTTTTATTTTATATTCTTTGTAAGGAGTTTTTAAGTTTTAAATGTATTATACTAGTAATAAAGTGTCAAACAGTTCTAACAACATACAATACAAGAAAATGTAAAGTAAGCGGATATACCCCACATATTGGCAATTTTTGGCCAGTAAAATATTAAATCCAATGTAATTAATACAGGCAAGCGTTTTTCTTAAGAACAGATTCTTCTCAGATTAAGAGTATGTCTTAGATTAATAATTCTATGGAGTATGTAAATTGACACTATTAATTGTACCTACGAGTTAAACCAATGAGAATATTTTTATTGCATAAGCTGGTAAATGGGCAAACGGATCACCTGATGGTAAGCAATCGGCGTCGCCCATGGACACCTGGAACACCAGAGGCGTTACAAGTGGGTTACTGACCTTTTGGAGATAAGGAATTTGAGGATTATTTTGGATTTAGGGATTGGGGAAGGGGGGAGTAATTGGGCCTCCGGTAAGCTCACTCACACGACGAAACACAACGCAAGCGTTGTTTCACGTCAATTTTCTGTGAGGCCGTGGTATCACTCCGGTCAATCCAGCCAATTCGTGCCGAAGCATGGTTCTCCCACACTTAAAAATGAACATTCTCTTCACATTGTCCTTAGTAATTAGACTTTAAACTATATTTTATCCAACAAACACAGTCAATCGAGTACTATCAAAGTAGTTCCACTATCGATAACATATCTGACTCAATATGAAACGAAAATATTGATTATTTGTTGTAAATGAAACACCTGCTCATTTATTATAGTAAGTACACACGTGTCTTTTACCACGTTTGATTAGATAAGACAAATTTATTTGGGAATAATGATACAGTTATCTCCTGTGTATATTACTAAATGACGATTTAATCTAACTTGTCATTAAACTTTTATATTTTGTCAACATAATGCACTGTGCTGTCTCTTTTTGTGCCTTTAGGCTTAATTTATTCTGTCTCCTGCAGTAATTCACCGAGTGAAGTGGAAACTATCGTATTTTCTTTTCTTCTTATATCATCTGATTTATTTCGTTGCGAGAACCAAGACCTGGGTGCTTACTCTTGACACCAATCTCAATGTCAGTGCACTTTCAATCCAATAAAATCTCAATAATTATCCAATGTCAAAACTATACAACCCCTATCGTAGCTGCTAAAGGAGCATTTAGAGTACGGAATATAAAACCAAACTCAATACCATTTAGGTCATGAAATACCCACGCAATACGGATGCAAAAGGCGCTAGTGTTACAACTTAAGAGTACGAAATTTCACAATGTCAATGTCGATCGATCGGAATTGGATTCAAGAGTAAGCCCCCTGTTTATGTCCCTGGGACGCGCCGGACTTCAGTGTTCCGGTGTTTTCATGGTTGTATCTACTGTAGATCCTGGCTTACAGGAGCTACAGCGGTTTTGGGGGGTTGTGGCGGGCTTCTCCCAAAAAAATAAAATAAAGCACTGTGTTGGACAAAAAAATAACTACAATATAAGTTTCCTTGTATTCGTCTATATTTAGTGAGTAAAGACGTCAAGCGGGTACAAAAATAAACAAACTAGTTTTCAATTCTTAATGCGCAGGGATTCCCCCAAACTTGTTCCAAGGTCGAACGTATTGTGAATGAACTATTGAACGAATGGAAGGAAATATGCGGAATTATATGATAGGTACTATAAGCGTTAATCTTTTTCAGTTTAGTTTTTTCAAAACATTAACAACAAGAATCCTTGAATTATTATTTACATAGTATTATTATATTATTTAGACTTTAGACTATCCTTACTAATATTATAAATCGGAAAGAAGGTTTGTTTGTTTGTTCCGATTTCACGCCGTAACTACTAAAACGATTGCTTTGAATTTTTGCAGACGTAAAGTTAGAAGTCTGGATTAAACAATAGGGTACTTTTTATCCCGGAAAAAATTATATTCCCGAGGGAAAACAAAAGTATTGGTATAGATGGCGCTGTATGTATTGGTATATGTCTGATGTCACATAGGCTACTTTTTATCCTTTTGTGACGCGAGCGAAGCCGCGGGTAAAATAAGCTAATAATAAAAAAATCTTAGTACGTAGTAGTAGTAATAATTAGAAGGCAATAGGCTCACCCCCTAATATATTTGACTCATAACATAAATAGTGAAAAGTGGGTGTTACATTGTACAGTGGCATTAAGTGCCGTAATGTGCAACTCTGCCTACCCTGAATAAAAAATATAAAGTTGTAATGTGTACACCACAATTTTTTTTCAATTATTGTCAGTTATTGCTCCTTTTTTCATTGTTATATGTTTGTGGTATCCACAGAATCTGGACGAAGTACACATAGCTCTAGAAGTATGTCAGGAGCCGCGGGTGATGAACCCTGGAGCCGCCGGAGCGCTGCCCGTGCCTGGAAAATACAGCTACATACACAAGGTACCTATTTGGATTCTAAAAAAATTTTTGTGATATATTTTTTACTGTTTTTTTTTTTTTTATTATTTACACGTTGTAATTGCAGGTGATAGATGGAATCTCAGTGGCTGTGAACCACGTGCAAATAGACTTTAACTGTGAAGCATTCACCAGCAGTGTTCAGGTAAGATTTGTAATCAAACATGACTAGCAGAATGGTATATATCAGCGTTTCCCAGCCTTTTCAGCCCACGGACCCTTTGGAAAACAAGAACAGTTTTCACGGACCCTAAGATAGCAAAAAAAACGGATTACATATTTATTTTAGTGATTACAGATACGAAAAACAAAACAAATACAGAAGGTAATTAGGTTAAACATGAAAAATATGAAAAAAAACAAAAATATTAATGTGAAGGTTGGTGTTTCTTTTTTGGAACTAAATCAGGGATATTCGGGTTTATGTCGTTAGTACTTAGTAGTAGCTGTGGTAGTAGTCTGTAATCTCAAATCAGATTCTTCTATGTTAGCTGTTTTAGCGGCCCTTTTGAATTTAATGAGCGATTTATGTGTGGTCCAGAGATGACACCGCGGACCCCAGGGGTCCGCGAACCACAGGTTGGGAAACGATGACGATATATTATAATACTCAATAAATTTAATCTTAAAAGCCATAAATGAAGTATCTAGAACAATGTAAATACTCCTCGTGTAATACTTACAATTATATGCTACAGCATTAACCCCCATGTAAGTATTATAGTCTCCCATCAAAGACGATTGAAAATCTCATTTACATCGTATATTTTTATGTAACTTCAGATCTCAAGAGTAACCGTGGAGTCTCGGACGCCGGAGGGCCGGAAAGGAGACCTAAGACTGACTAGAATCAAATCGCCTGACACCGGACAACTGCTTATATTTAAGGTAACTTCATAATTCATGTATTTATTTGTCCATTAAACTGTCAAACACCAAGCGGTCACCGGTGACCGCGACCTATTGTTCTTTAATTGTGTCTATAAAACCGGTACTCGACGAGTTAATGGCACTGCAGTGGATTTATTCTTAAGCAACTTCTGTGTGACTCCTTCGCAGAAGGCTTAAAGATTTCTTTTTATTTATACGCATCTTGAGTTTTCTTCGGGATACAGAAACCTCGAGTTGGGGATCCCAGAATTTGAGGAAAGGTGCTAAGTATAGTGCATTAAGCTCGCTCTCGCTCTTTTTCTCAACAGTTCATGCGATATTCAACCCTATATCTTTTATTACAGGAGTTAGAATGGCAGAGCGCCCGCATAGAAGCCAAAGCCCACGGCGCAGCCAACGCCAACCTCCCGCCATTACGACTGTTACTGGGCAACACACACTGTCGGATTGTCATCAAGAAGAGACTGTCAGGTATAAACTATTTACAACCTTATTTTCAACCTGATTAAATCGGTTTTATAGTGCAGCAAATGTTAATTAGGTTACATTTACTACGCGAAGAACGTAGTGTAGCAAACGATGCGACGCGCAGATGTTACTTTCATTGTACGTTTATCGCGGAATGTTATTAATAACTATGAGTCCTTAGCGTTACTTGAAAGTAGTTGAGTATAGCCCGAATACTGAAATGCTACTCAATTTTAAGTTGTGCCTTCTTAAGTATCGTGCTATCGTCGCTTTATAAAGAATTTGTAGTAACTACTAATAGAACTAATCTTAAGACGCTCTCAAAATTCTTTAAATCTTTAAAATTAAATACATACAAATTAATAACATCACGCCTCTTATCCCCGAAGGGGTAGGCAGAGGTGGACATTACGGTACTTAATGCCACTGTACAATGTAACACCCGCTTTTTAGTATTTATGTTATGAGTCCCATGTAATAGGGGGTGGGTTCTTTAAAACATGATTAAAAATTTAGTGGCGTTTAAATATAGTGACGTGACTAAAAAAAAATGTTTTCACAGACTGTGCAGTGATAGGGTCTCGTCTAGCGATATGCCCGGAGCCCCTAGCGTGGGCCCTGACAGACGGACAGCTCCGCGCCATGTTGGCGTGCGCGGTGGCACTCGCCAAGCCAGTGCAGAGAGCTACTGCCGCCGCTACTAGGATCAAAGCTTTACGGAAGGTAAGGACACCTTCAACTTCTTTTTCACCAAACTCTCCTTAATTTTAAGGAACCCCCTAAGCTAGGAACATTTTGGTTTACACCAACCTATAAGTGACACCTAACAATGTCAAGTAAGGGGTTAGTTTAGGTACTACGTCACGCTTAGTGAGTTTTAGTTAAAAGATGGTTTAGGAGTGGTATGTTAAAATTCCCAATAGTTATATATTAAATACATAGCCAATGTGCCTAATTAAATTCCCTTCCCTCCCTCCCACCCCCATCCTCAAATTTTCCAATACTCAAATCCCCCAAGAGCAAACCCCAAACAATGTCCATGTGCGGCATCGAATGCTTACCATTAGGTAATACCACTGCTTGTTTGCCGCCCTTTCCTATAAAAAGCTCTTTGACTCGACTAAAACCATTCAAACCTAGATTTTTCGCAGAATTATTTACACTTCTCTCATTATTTTCAACCCAGATCGAGGAGCCTCGAGAGCAGATATCGAGCAGACCGGCGACGGGCGAACGTGACATACTAGCGCGGATGTTCGCCAAGCATGACGTCAGGGAGACGTCGTATCATCTACTGGCGCCACGGATAGACCTGCATCTATGTGACGATCCTGGATGTGAGTCATATTTCATGATACGTACATAATTAAATCTATGTGAACCATGCTTTTGTACAAACGCGCCAGCTCAACCGTAGTGATACCACGGCTTTACAAAGCCGGCGTGATACAACGCTTGTAACGTGTGAGTAAGGTTATCGGGGGCCAATCGATCCAATCCCTCCCCCTAACCCTCCTCCTCCCCCTCTCCAAAGGTTGGCAGCGCACTTGTTACTCCTCAGAAGTCGCGGGTTGGGTTAAGTGGATTTAGTGTGGGAGACCCATGCTTCGGCACGAATAGGCCGGCTTGATCGGAGTGATACCACGGCCTCACAGCAAACCGACGTGAAACAACACTTGCGTTGTGTTTCGTCGTGTGAGTGAGGTTACCGGAGGCCCAATTACCCTCTACAGACTTGCCAATTCCCGAATCCTCCACAATCCTCAAATTCCCAAATCCCAAAAGGCCGGTAACGTACTTGTAACGCCTCGGTGTTTCAGGTGTCCATGGACAGCGCCGATTGCTTACCATCAGGTGATCCGTCTGCTCGTTTACCGGCTTATCCCACAAAAAAAACAACATAGGCTAAACTAATAACTTATCCTTCAAGTGAATAGGGATATCTCACAATTAATTTCTTACTAAATATTGCTCAGGTAATGCTTAACTCGTTGAACGCCATGGGGGTCACCGGTGACCGGCGTTAGCGGAGGATTTACCTTCAACAGTTTTTTATTGGCAGTCAAAGTCTTAACTTTATGAAAAGTTTATAATATAAAACACAGTTGTTTTCAACATACTAAACATTTCACAGTGGGTCGTTCAGAAAAGCCGTCTCTATCCAATGGCGGTGCTCTGCAAGTGACGCTGGTCAGCATGCAGGCCGACCTGTTCCCATACCACAAGGCGTCAGACGACAGGAGACATTGGCGAGGATATAGGTTAGTAAATGCTGTTCTATAAATTTAACGAAGGAAGAAAATTATTGCGTTCGTCTTCGCTACCGAAGATATATCACTGTATTCGTTCAGTGATACCTTTTATTATTATTTATTCATTCCGGATACTTTAGAGAGTAATGTATAGTCAGGAAATAAATTTCGTTTAGGACAATAGGGTACTTTCCTAAATTTTATTTTAATGTCCGTTTGGTACACACGGCTACACATCGAGCTTTACATAACCAGTATAAACTGAACGTTAAATGTGCGGAAAGATAATGTGACGCGACACCAGGATAAACTGGTTTTGTATAGATTGATGTGTGGCCGTGTGTACATTAATTTAAAACTTTAGACACCTATTTTTTCTTTTCTCACAAAATTAAATACTTTCGACGACATTAATTTGAAATATTGTGTGACGTCACAGCGTGCCACATTTTGTAGCACGTTATAACGTAACAACCTCCCACTCCTAAACTTAGCGCCATTTTATCTAAGTATTGCAACTTAATACGAGAAAATAAAAAAATACGTGTCTAATATTTTTTCTTTATCTAACTGATGGACTAATTAGATTTTTAATTTTCATACCCTGGAAACTACCCAATTTTGAAATAATAACATTTGTATTGTTTTGTTTACAGGGAAGCGGCGACTCCCCACAGCCAGTGGTTGTCGCAGGCACTGTCGTCATTCTGCACGACGCTGCTAGACTCGCTCGACCCGCGCCCACTCACTCCTAGCTCCAAGGTACTTCATATTCTAATTTTTTTTTAATGGGACAAGCCCCCCACACCATCCTAAACCGCTGCAACTCCTGTAGCCAGGATCTACAGTAGATACAACCATGAAAACACCGGAACACTGAAGTCCGGCGCGTCACAGGGACATGAATACCTGTCTTGGTTCCCGCAACGAAACGAATCAGAAGATATTATAAGAGAAGAAAAAAAGTTATTTATACATAAAAAGTAATTCTGATTATTGTCGTGCTAGCCCGAAGGTATAAGACGCGTATATACTCACATCGGTGCAGGTTCGAAACCTACCAACGCCAAGTACTTATATGACATTTTCCGAGTTTTTAGTACTTTCTAGAGGTAAAATTATTTAGACACCACTGATTAACGGTGAATGAAAAACAAAATACATCGTGCGGAATACTGGACTCATAATTCCTAATTATAAGTTTGAAATCGCCAACCCGCATTGAGCGTGGTAATAAATACTCAATCCTCCGTGCGAAAAGAGGCTTTTAGTCAGCAGTGGCCACTTATACGCTATTGCTAATGATGATTCTGATTGAAATACAAACTAAACTATTTGCTTAAGTTTTAAAATAAATTCTATTCTTACTTTTTACTGAATAAAAGTAAGTATATAAGTTTTCGGTTGGTGCGGTGGCTGGGCAACCGGCTGCCGTGCAACGTGTCGCGGGTTCGATTCCCGCACGGAACAAGACTTTGTGTGATCCACAAATTGTTGTTTCGGGTCTGGGTGTCTTTGTGTGTGTGAACTTGTATGGTTGTAAACGCACACGCGACACAGGAGAAAAACCTAATGTGGGGCAACGTATTATAAAAAAAGTGTTAAACTTTGTATAAAATCTTCTTACGTGTGGTTTTGTGGTAATTTGCAGATGAGTCAACCCGAGAAGTCGGAGGAGCCAGTCTCTAACGGCATCAAACACAAACAGACTCCCACACAACACAGCGCTTCCAATGCTCCGTCCACTAACTCTACTACTGCCTCGCAAGGTACACACTCTAATACAATTTCAACCTTATTATGTACTTGGTATAAAGTTCAATATTTATTAACAAGACACTGGAGACAATTAATTGTTACTTCTGTGCTTATTGTTTATGTATTTTCTACCTTATTACTTGCTTAGCATAAAGTTGAAAATCTCATCAACACGATGAAGACGACATTGCACTGATTTACATTATCTACTATATAAAAATAAGTCGGGTTTTCCTTCCTGACGCTATAACTCCAGAACGCACGAACCGATTTCTACGGTTTTGCATTCGTTGGAAAGGTCTCGGGCTCCGTGAGGTTTATAAAATATAAAACAAAAAAAAAATTTTCAACATATTTAAATCACCAAACGAAATATTAAATAAAACGATGCCATCTGGTGGTGAAACGGAGTTCGCCAGGGTTTGCTAGTATATTCTAAAATATTTAAAGCATTATTTTTGAACGTTATTGCAGCATCGCCGACTAGAACGCGCATACTACAACAGCTCGGCAAACTGATGACGACGTGTCTTGTACTTAGGATAGACGACTTCACTGTCTATAAGGTAACATTTCAATTTTGTTATAAAACATACTACCACTATGATCGAGTTATTGCAAGTCACAACAGTTTTCTCAGTTTCCTAAATGTATATAATTGGATTTTGAACCTTAAGTAACTGAACGCAGGTTACAATTCAGACCAGTGGTTAGGAAAAGTGTGGTTGAACCGTTAACCCACTTAATCAACTACAAAACTTGAAGACAAATAAATAGTTCTTCGTTTACTCAACTTCGATAGTAATATCGTTGGAGTGCGGTGTCATGGTAGTCAATTAACTGTCGAGGAACGGAGCTCTGTTTTGATCATTGTCACCAGTAGCGCGACATTTGAAATTATTACATGGACTTTAAAATGCGTCATCGATGCTAATGCATCAATGCGACCCATCAGATATAAAAAAAATCTTATTCTTATACTATTATATAAAGCGGAAGAGTGTGTTTGTTTGTTTGTTTGAACGCGCTAATCTCCGAAACTACGGGTCCGATTTGAAAAATTATTTCTTTGTTGGATAGCCCATTTATCGAGGAAGGCTATAGGCTACAAAACATCACGCTACGATTAATAGGCGCCGAGCAGAGCGAGTGAAGCCGCGCGGAAGTACCTAGTATATTATAAAAGGTATCTTAATATTCCAGGTATCGACGGGGTCCAAGAACCGCGACGCGCCCCGCCCTCTAGTGAGCGCTGAGAAGGCCACGCTACCGGGCGACGCCGGGCTACTTCACGCTGAACTTACTTTCTTCTACTATCCTGGAGACGTCTGCTTCCCTGGTCAGTTAATATTATATTACTGGTACCTACATACATTAACACCCCGTGACAATTTGGACTATGACCATCCTCTACAAAACGCTGATAAATAATTTCAGCCGTCAGTAAGATCATATTTATTTCATATATGGCATGGTAAAATGTCAACTTCATAAAAAAACTGCACTATTGGCACAGTGGCTTGGCAACTAGGTGCTGCGCAAAATATCGCGAATCTGATAATGAAATCTAATCACACTGTCATTAATTGATTTTATGACTAACTTAATTGAAGTATTTTTTTAGCAAATATTTAAGAAATAAGTATGCTGTTTGAAGCTAAAAAGACATCACAATATATCGTACAAAATTCGAGAAAACTCGTTTTAGACAGTTCGATAAAAGTATTGAGTTTGACTAATTGGCAAATACTCAATTAATTGTATTTGTTGATAGACGGCACGACACAGTATAATAACATTGTTTTCTTATTACCTTTGTGTTTCTCGACAGTCCCAGCCCCGAAGCTGTACGTGCAGTTGAGTCCGGTCCGTATATCGGTGGACGTGAACACAGTGGTGTGGCTGGGCGCCTTCCTGCCGCACGTCGTGCCGCGCGGACAGGACATGGACATCGAGGACGCGCCGCCTGCATACATGGATGTTAGGATGGAAGCTATCATGCCTAAGGTAACAAGTTAGTCTGTAGGTTACTGTACATTTTATAATGTAAATAACGCTTCTGAAGTTTAGTATTGTTAGTATTTTACCCTAGTATTAATTGGGCACTTTCTTTAATCAAAAATAAATGTTTAACTTTACTGTTCAATACTAATACTCGAATCGTAGGCCTTAGTATACGATACGGAGCCGCGGAAGGCCTAACGGGTTACCGGGGCTCCGGCTCGAAGAGCAGGAGTAGGACCGGGGTGGTTTTTAGTCAATAAGAGTCTGACACTCCCTCTCGCCTACCCCAAGGCGGGAGAAGTCATTGGATGATCCCCCCCCCACACACCCCAAAAAACAAAAAAAGGTCTTAGTATAACTCAAAACTAATCAAGTTATCTCGTCAAACAGTTACTTGAGTAAGTCGTAAAGCAATAATAATTGTGTCACGAGTTACAATAAATTAGGAAGAAACAAGGAAATTAATTGGTATTATTACTTCCAGCTGGTACTGGAAGCAGGTCCAGAGCATGTATCAGCGCAGCGCGACAGGCCCCGTGAGCTCCATCTATGTACAGCGCGCGCTACGCTCACTAACGTACGAGAGTCGCCGCGTGCCAGTCAGTATAACTTTCTATTATATTCTACTAGCTTTCACACGCGGCTTCGCTCGCGCCAAAAAAGGATAAAAAGTAGCCTATGTGACATATACCCAGCGCCATCTATACCAATACTTTTGTTTTCCCTCGGGAATATCAAATTTTTCCGGGATAAAAATACCCTATTATTTAATCCAGACTTCTAACTTTACGTCTGCAAAAATTCAAAGCAAAACAAACTTTCCGATTTATAATATTAGTAAGGATTTTGATGTAATCTATCTCTATTTCATATTTTTATACTGTATTCTTAAGTTAGTATAACTCGTTATACAGCGCGGATTTTTATACTTCCAAAGAGTTTCAAGTCAAAAAGTATTTTGGAATCTGCGTAATATTTCCTCCAACCCGCATTGAGCAAGCGTGGTGATTAATGTGAGAAGATGCTTTGCTTAGCAGTGGGCATTTGTAGGCTGTTGATGATGATCTGTAATATTTCCTCTCCTTTTCTTTACTATCAAACCTCATCCTATCGATGGCTGACTATACTTACTAATATTATAAATCGGAAAGTGAGCTTGTTTGTTCCAACTTCACGCCGTAACTACTAAACCGATTGCATTGAATTTTTGCAGACGTAAAGTTAGTAGTCTGGATTAAATAATAGGGTACTTTTTATCCCGAAAAAATTTGATATTCCCGAGGGAAAACAAAAGTATTGGTATAGATGGCGCTGTATGTATATGTCACATAGGCTACTTTTTTATCCTTTTGTGACGCGAGCGAAGCGGCGGGTAAAAGCTAGTTGACTATATAACCGCTTTAACATTGTGCACCACCCAATGGTCGACTGTCAGAAAATGCAATAAAGTTTAATAAATAAAACTATTCAAGTTATCCAACTTTTCTTTGATAATCGTCTTTTAAGACACTTTTTTTTTATTGAGCTGTCTACAGTACTTTCTTCTTCTTCAAAAGGACACCAAACTCCATTACAAGAAATCTGTACATGATGGCTCATGTATAAATTTTCCAATGTAGGTACTATAAGGCTATATTCCCATAGGTTATATTTCTTCCAGATTCAGCTGGTACGCGCGCAGACCTAGCGTCTATACTGGCAGCATTGCGCAGGTCCGCGCCGCCCCGGGATCAGTTCCCGTGCGCGGTAGACGACATGGACCCCATACATGAACAGTTTATTTTACATGCTGATAGTGAGTATATTTTGCCATACAATTATAAAAAAAAAACATGAATTTTTGACGAGTGTTCAAGCTGAATATTTTTTTTTAACTCTAGTTTTTTAAGATTTGGTATGTAAATTCATTTGAAATTGAATATTATATCAACCTATTTGTTATAAGTAGTGGACTATGTAAATAACATACCAAATTATTAAAATTACGTTTATGAGCAATTTTGATTGCGCAATGCCGCCGCGCTACGCACGCTTCTCGTTAATAAAAGTCCCGTGGGACTTGACTGTAATAGCGCATTTCTCGTATAATTCACGTGAGTAAGTCGCATAATTAATTAATAAAGTATTATTTTTATAATTCCATAGATTTGGACGACATAGACCGCGGTACGGCGATGAGTCCGGAGCTATTATGGCGCGAGAATCGCTCAGTATGGTGCGCGCGCGTGGAACCGCTGTGGGCAGACTTCTGCGGCGCGCGCGCTACTAACTACAAGCCGGCGCCCTTGTTGGACGCCACGCCACTTACTGCTTGGGTAAATATTTAATAATATAATAATATCTGCTCTATAATAATAATAATGACTGCCTCGCTGGCCGAGTGTAAGTGCGACTGCCGGGCAGGGGGTCTCGGGTTCGATTCCCGGGTCGGGTAAAGTAAGACTGGGTTTTAAAAAAATTCTCAGTAGTAGCACGGAGTCTGGAATTGTGCCCGGTATATGGCAATAGGCTCACCCCCTATTACATGGGACTCATAACATAAATAGTGAAAAGTGGGTGTTACATTGTATAATGGTATAATGTGCACCTCTGCCTACCCCTTCGGGGATAAAAGGCGTGATGTTATGTTATGTTATAATAATATCTTAAGGTGGATATAAATATAATTAATATGCATGTAATCATGCTTTGATTACATGGGAATAGGCAGAAACTACTACTTATACTCCATTTTATACAAATTAAATTGAGTTATACATACTATACAATGGCAAAAACAACACAAATTAAGTTCTTAAAATGTTCTCAGTTATGTTTCGCGGACGACTTCAGCCGTATCTGGATAGTGGCCCGTACGTGTGGCCTGGCCGGTCTCCAACTCAACCATTACCAGATGCTGTTCCTCATGAGGCAACTAGAAAGGATCTCCGAGATGACTGCCTGGCTCGCTCATGATGCGGAGAGGCAGCCTGATGCTGAAGATGGGTAAGGATCCTGGTTTTAAAGGCATCATAGATGAGAAAAAGCTTCTGACTTCTGAACATCGTTACGAAGTTTGACAATTTACTTCTTCTGGTTTAAATCAGAAAGTGTAAATTGTGTGAAAATGGCTATTCTACTGGAACTGTGATGAGATACGATTAACAGTGAAATGTTGCCCGAATAAAACAAGTTGTACTTGTTGGTAGACTTGCCCCATAGTAGGCCGCATCATCGCTTACCACTAGGCGAGATATTAGTCGAACGCTATGTGAATAAAAATAGTGTTTTCTCGGCGCAAGGTTTCATACAAACTTGAAGTCTAAACCTATTAAAACTATTAAACCGATCTTAATAGTTAATTTAATTAATTTAGTTTTAGTATTCGAATAAATTTAGTTTTAATATATCGTCGTGGTGGCCCCGAGGTTTAAGACGCCCACTTCTCATGCATGAGGGTGCGGGTTCGAAACCTACCAACGGCAAGTACCAATGTGACTTTTTTCCGAGTTATATGTACTTTCTGAGATTATTTAGACACCACTGACAAACGGTGAAGGAAAAACATCGTGAGGAAACCTAGACTTATAATTTCTAATTATAAGTTTGAAATCGCCAACCCGCATTGAGCAAGCGTGGTGATTAATGCTCTAACATTCTCCGTGTAAGAAGAGGCTTTGCTCAGCAGTGGGCATTTATAGGCTGTTGATGAAAATTGATGAATTCGAATAAACTGGTGATTCAATACTTCTGTATTATCCATAGGACCATTGTAGTTGGCGTAGTGGTACCAGCAGTGGAGCTAACGTTTGTGCTTCCATCCAACTGTCCTGGACAGGAGTCGTCCAGGGACCTCGACAGCGTGCCTTTAGACTCCTCCAGCTTGCAAGACTTGAAAATGGGTGGGTAGATCTTTCTTTTACTATTCTGCTGTGCAAAAGACATTATTATTTACGAGTGCTCTTTTCCATTACTTCTACTCTGTTCTATACTTCACTTCTCTATAAGTAAGGGTAAAATATATAAAGTGTAAAGCATAGAAATATGAACTATGCAAAAATTCACTTCTTGCAAGATGTTTATGGATATGTGTCCGACTAAACCTACATAGGTAATGATTAGAAGTGGCCAGGAAAAATTCTGAGGCCCTGAAATGTTAACATTATCCTACTACTAATTCTCTTTAAATACTTAATTAATATTGATGAATATATATCGATGGCTAATTGGCTGTAAACAAACGCCATATTGCTTGTCCAAAAAATCTAAAGTTAAAATTACAACTCGTTATTCGAGTCTAAATGTTACTCAGCAAAAGTTGACTTTTAAATTAAACAAAGTCAAAGTCATAACCATTTATTTCAATTTGGCCTCGAAGACACTTTTGAAAGTAAAAAAAATATTATTAAAAGTGAAGCTATTTGCTCGTTCCAAAGTGTAGATTCCTATGGAGAAGGACGAGCAGGAAACTCCATAAGTTATTCTTTTTCAATCAGGTTCGAACAAAATTCTATGTTCTGTATTTACCTCAAACCTATAAACTATTCTACTTTTATTATTTCTCTATACTATTACTTTATTTAAGTTGTTTATATATTTACTTTCACGTTCTTCTATCTGGGTGTTACTGGGCAGAGCACCAAACTGTATCCACGCTAGGCGCGTCCACGCCGCTCGAAGAGAACTGCAGTAAGTTTTGGGTTCAAAAAACATAACAAAAATGATCCTCAATGTCACTCCACTGCATTTAACCTTACTAACACGAAAGGATGTTGAAAAATATTAATTAGACGTCATTTTACTAACTTTTAAAACAAATTTGTGCTTCAGTAATGACTTATTTAATTTTGGTCGTACAACAGTTATGCTTTTGGGGCCTTGTGTTCGGTTTCCGAGTTGAACAAATAATAATAATTGGGATTTTTTGTTATGAAAAATCTTAAACAAACATCTTTGTTTTATAAATTGATGTTGTCCTTGTTTAGAAGTTTATTTGCTTCCCAAATAGCATTAAAGAAAAAGAAACGCTTATCACTTCATTCGCGACATGTTTTCATGTTACCACCTGCGGGAATATAGTGAAATAATCTAAATCGTGCGATGTCTGGAACATAACATAACACAACATTATCCCCGAAGGGTTAGGCAGAGGTGTACATTATGCCTCTGTATAATGTACCTCCCACTTTTCACTATTTATGTTATGAGTCCCATGTAATTGGGGGTGAACCTTTTGCCATATACCGGGCACAATTCCAGACTCCGTGCTACTACTGAGATTTTTTTAAAACCCAGTAATACTCGGCAATCGCACTTGCGACCACTCGGCCAACGAGGACTACCTGCTATGTCTGTCTAATAATAAAAACGTAAAATCTGCAGTTAGTTCAATATTATCAATATCTAGTCGTTCACGTAAAGCAATTGTTGTGTGTCTGCACTTTGGTTACCTACAAGTTTCAACTTTTTATTTATTTTTTCACTCTTGCACTATTTTTTTTCTTCTTTTCTCCTAATGAAAGTAGATGCTCTGTGTGGTAAGAATAATAATAATTGTGTGTTGTTCTAAGCGCTGTTGTATGCTAATTATTGGCTACTTTGAAAATGGAATAATCATGGCAAATATTCAACTTTTAATTTAAACTGTAAACTGTCGTAACACAGACTAATATGCAAATCGCTAAACGTTAAGCATTTAATGTAATTTTAAAAAGTTAAAAACATGCTTTCCCCTTGATGATTTTCATTTTCCTTTTTACATATTTTGCCATGATTATTTAATCAACATAACTTAATTGAATTTGCATTTGCTTTTAATTCCGTTTTTGCAAATGAATACCAACTTTGTATAAACCCCAGTAGGTTCTGAGGCGACGATGGCGCCCTCTATGATGGATCGCGACAGCGGCGTACTGGCCACCACCTCCGTGGAAGTCTATCAACCTATACCCATTGAAGAACCGCCTCCACCCAGTCCTGGACTAAGTTTTGGAGGTAAGATGCTGTATATTGTGCTAAGAAAATAATCAATACGTTTTGTGCCTACAATCTCAATCGCTTGAATATAATTTATTGTTAGCGAAAATGCGTTATTGTTTTTTTACTCGTGTTGTAGTTAGCTTATTATTACACTAAGTTTAAGCTAAACAAAGTACTGAAATCTAACAGTTGTCAGTGTAGTCAATTGTCTATGATTTCCTTAATTTATGAATTGACATATGTACATAACATCACGCCTGTTAATCATCATAATTAACATCACCCATGTTCTTACAGGATTCTCATCAATGCGTCGCGGGTTCACTTCGCTGGTGACGTCAATAGACAGCGCACTGACGCGCGACGACACGCGCAGTGACGCGGCGTCCACGGCCAGCTCCGACAGTGACCGCTACGTCGTCGTCGGCTTGGCGGCCGAGTCGCCTGATGATGCTGACATGGCATTTAGGTAAATCATACTTTCTATTGGGAGAACCTAGGAGCCGTCTCGACCGGAGTGATAGCACAGACTCACAGCAAATCGGTGAGAAAGAATGCTTGCGGTGTATCTCATCTTTTGAGTAGGGTTATTTATTTATTTATGTACACACATACAACATAAAGGACAACACATACATAAAATTAAAGTACAAAGGTACCACCTATTTCTATTGGAATTTCTTCCTGTGGTTACTGAAGAAGCCGATCTCTCCATCTCCAATTCTTAATCTACAAATTCCTGAAAGGCCAGCAACGCACTTGTTACTCCCCTGGTGTGACAGGTATCCTTGGTAACAGACGTGTAAAAAAATCTTTACCTTATCAGTAAATCTTAATAAGTAGTATTTTAAATTTAACACGAATTCAAATTAATATCCGCAGGGAGTTTGAGCATGGACGCGCGGCATCGTCAAGTGGTGTAGAGGTAGCAGCCGAGGTGGTGGAACGATCCTCGTCACCGAGCGACCACTCTGTCACCAGCTCTTGCAGGAGAAGAGATGTCGTATGTTTTTCATACTGTTATTTAAATTATAGCAGAAAAGTTTCTTAAGACTGGATTTAATCCTTTGAGTACCGTCATTATAGACACAATTAAAGAACAGGTTGCAGTCACCGGTGTCCTCGCGGTGTTTAACAGTTTAAACTTGGGTTATTAGTCCTAGTCTTATATAAATTAAACCTACAGGATTTTTTAAAACAGTTGATTGGAGATATTATTGTCAGTGATTTGTGAGTCTACACCTTTTTATTTTTTATCCTCATAAGAATATGCATTGAGTTCACTTATGTGCGAAATACATTTAACATAGTATTTATATGACATAATGGTCTTGCGACGTAGCAATGTAATAGACGTAATAGAGATTGTTAGATCTTTAATATGTTTTACCTTTTTTGTGGAGACATGCAATGAAACTTCTTTATTCAGTATAATCCACCTTTTAAACGATATTATATTCAAAATCTATCGCTAAATTCGCAACAATCCTCCCTCAAGATATCAACAAGTACTTGGCGTCTGAACAACATACACATAGTTCACCAAAGCGGTGGTGGAAGGACCTGCCTTCGACTGGCTGCCGACGACCTGAAGAGTGACGAGTGTAACGCTATACCCTGGGATGAGTTCCAGGTGAGTTCTGGCATCGATGTCCACTCTCCAAGTGTTTGGCTGATGATGTGAGCTCCTTTTTATAGTTGGTAGGTAAGGAGTATCATTGTCATGTAATGATTTTCAGTTAACTCCTAAATACCGTTGTTTTTTTTAATGCATTATAGTGTTGAACAGCTTCTTAGAAGCTCCCTGTTCAATATTCAAAGTATATTCCTTCTACAGCTTAAAGAAGGAAAGACAAATAAAGAGTGGACAAGATGGAACCCTATATTTTCAGTTTTAAAGTTGAGAGTCTCTCCGACTAAAAGTTAGAATTTGATTAATCTGAGAAAACAATGAAATTGTTGCTTTCCAATTGTTTTGTCATTGTGTTCATGATTGAGAGTAAATAAGATTTCAATAAAATACCTACCAACTGTAAAAAGTTGCAAGCAAAAGTCTCTATGTGCAAACAAATTAATTGTACTGAAAGTGTCCAATCTCCTAACTTATAAAATTGACCCTACTGTATTTTTTTTTTAATTTAACCTGGACGTTTTCGCTACAATTTTCAAAATCCAAACATCATACACATTCACTGGTTTTTTGATTTTACCACACCTATTTTCAAGAGTTTTTTTAAACTAAACTAAAATTAACAATACTTATCAAAATATGACATTCATACATAATTAACCTACAACATTTTATTACGTATCTTATATTTTTTTGTTAAATAATAATAATAAACATAATTTACAATACACAAGTATTATTTGAGGATTTATTTGTAATATTAATTAATTATTAAAATAGCATGCGTCGGTACAGTCCGCATTATTTTATTTTCTGACCTTACATTCTTTGATAGTCTTCCATAATAGGTCGAGGCAGTGTCGTTGTGGATTATTTAAACTTATAATTTTAACAAGAATCACATTAGCTTGGTAGGGTACTATAAAACTAGACTGAAAAAATAGAATTACTATTTTTGTAAGTCGCACTAATAAGTACCAAATGACTATGACAAAAGTATGTATAATTTACCTTCGAAACTTCGCGTATAGCATTATTTTTGCAGAAAAGCTATGTTTATTCCAAAATACATCAAGTGCGGTCTAGCTGTTTGCGCGAAAACACAAACATAAAATAAAATTCGTCGACATTCTTCACAAAACTACGATCAAAGTCTAAATTAATTGAAAAAGCTTTTGTAATTTTTAAAAATATTTACGTCCAAACGACGCTGCCTTATCAGATGTGCATGACTGTATCATCACGATCATTGTATCTCGTACCCAGTAAGGTGTATCGCTGTAATACTAAACTATGTTGATAAGGCTTCGGGTTTACGAGCGGGCGACTTTCGAACGACTATATTTTAATACATAAAACCATTAAAAATCGATTTAAATAAAATTACATTGACAAATATGTTGATTCAGGCCACAATATATTAAATTGTTACTTGCGCAAACTCAGCGCAACTGTAGCGCAAAAGTTAACGGTTGCGCAAAGGTCGTTTGACAGTCGCTCGTTTCAAAACCCGTCCTCAAACTGGAATGCATCCATTTTATCTCTAACTATATGTGTCTATGTGTGTTTTTTCCTCTATGGCAATTCCCGCCCGCTCGGCTATCGTGAACCGAAAGAACCGTCTCAAGGTATTTAGCTACGATCTATAGATGATCTATAGATCATTTGACACGATGTAGTGGTATCATTATGTTGAGTGCCCATAGATGTAGAGGTTATGTGTCGTAGCCAAGGGGGTTTGTCTGTGTATGAGTGAGACAAAAGATGTTTCTGTCTCTTTTTGTTTTATTTCAAATTTGTAGTGGTTGTGTTTGGTTTACGGTATAGTCTAGTCTTAAAATTAATCTGTCTTTTATCAGAGAGATCACTTATATTGTCTTGTTTCAAAATTTTTTTATGCTAATAAAGACTAAATACTTGCTTTGGATATACCCTACGGTGAATCAAATGATCTATTTCTCAAGAACCAAACACAAGTACCAAATTGAGACCAGAAACATCTTTACAACTGCTTCGTTGCTATCTGTTACATGTCCGCCATTTTAGCTTCGCCAGCGCCATCTGAAGGCTCAGGTAGGAAGCCCTTTGCTGACAATTTATTCCTACATTTCATTATACCCTAGTCTTTGGTAACTGGAAAGTGAAAATACACTTTCAACGATATATCCACAATTTTGCATGATATAAAATTACTCGTCTATACAAATTCTGCTTAGTTTCAAATTTACTAAAATAAAAGTCCCCTTAATACAATAATGTCAAAAATTACACATGACAAATAATATTTTAACTAAACATAATAGTATTATGTATTCTTTAGAATTTCTTCTACGCTTCTGCATGGTTAAACGTGTTATATGAAAAAAGTTTTGCACTGATTAATAGTTATAATAAAATGTTTAGCTAAATCATTACCAATTGAACAAATATCATTTTTTTATTCAATAATGGTTAATAGTGGTAAAAATTCCACACGAAATAATGGTCTTAACTTAAGTACCTATTAATAATCTCAGCAAGCTAAATACTTACAAATTTTTCGCCAATCGAAAATCAACTCTATGTCCAAAAAGTGCATAACTTTCTTCATTAAGTGTGATCTAAATGTTGCATGTCCCGCACTGTCCTTTCATCTCCATCCACACAGTGTAAAGGTGTTTGTGACGTATATCCGCTTCGTGTGACGTTGTAACCGTTTTAAATACCGGCCGTTACTTTTAAACATAAACCTACATTCCGCTATTCAAAAAACTACCTTAAAATCGTCAACTTAAAGATCATTCTTGATCTTCTAATTCAAGTATAGTGTTTGAAAGTATCTGCCGTCCCCAACCCATGTCGTGATCCCCCCTTCCTCCCCTAAATTAGCCCCTCTGAACACAGAACAAGTTCTCAATGCGGGCGCGGGCCTGGTCGGAGCCGGTCGTCTCTGAGAGTGATGAGCTGGCGCCGAGGAATGAGCCTCTAGTCGCCGCTAGACTTGTGAGGACTCAATTGCCGAGAGCACCTGAAGATAAGGTATATGAAGTTTGATGTTGAAATCAATGTAAACAGTGCCTTTAGCCAAACGCCACTTTAGCGCTTGTCTACAGAGAGAGTAGAAAACTAAATGTATGGGAATGACACTGACAAGTGTCGAAATTTACGTAAATTCCATATAATTTAGTTTTCTATTCTACATGGAGACAAGCGCTAAACGGGATTTGGCTAGAGCAGCTGGTTTTAAAGAAATTTAACTCCCAATAAAATCAACACTTCCATTAATTGAATTTTGGTGTTAATAAGTCCGAATACTTCTAACTCGAATGTAAGAATTTATACATATTTTACTGAATGTATACTATACTTATGACATTCATGCAATTTGCATCTAAGACCCTTAAATTAGTATTTTACTAAAGACTTCCTTCTCATTTTCTCCAGGGTCTAGCACCATTCGAAGAGTTACTGGAGGCTCGCATTCGCGACCTTAGTATAGCTCTGAACATGAGCACAGCATTAGCGCTCGCAGAGTTGATTGAAGACGAAGTGGTCGCGCCGCCTATGCCGCTTGAGGTAATAATTTACTGTATAACCGAAAGATAAAATAATATAGTCAAAATAAATATAAAAAGAAAATCAGTATTAAATATGATGTGTTTTGTATAAGTACATACATTAATATATAAGTAAATAGAGTCAAAGTATTAAATAATACTGAAATATGCTTAGAAATACCGTGATCTTGTAATGTATATTGCGCATTGCACCATCAGTTGCGCAAGTACACAATGTTTTGCGCATCATAATTTCATATCCATATTAGTATACTTGTTTGTTTAATTACAAGTAGCGACTAATACCTACCAGCAAAATCACCACAAATATACTTCCAGGTCCTAATAGAAAACGTGAAACTTCACTTAATAGAAGATAGACCGACGCGTTCAATATCATCACCACCGCCTCAGCCTCTAGACATCGACCTGACTACATTAAGGATGACCAGGGACACTGCTGGGGTTGTTCGTTTAGGTCCTCCAGTATCCACACCTTCGACCATAGCATCTCCCGCCACGCCACAACCACAACCAGAATTAGATGAAGCTAGAGAAAAGATTGATAGGCTGAACAGGGAAAATGAGGAGTTAAGGAAAAGGCTCGTCACGTTGGCGAGGATAGCGGAGGATAACCGAGAGTTGAGAGCGTGAGTTTGGCCCTTGTTTTGTGTTTGTGTATGACAATGGGCTGAATTTGATTTTATTTAGTGGTAAAATTGATTTGTGGTAAGGAACAATAACTTCATATGACCATTCTTAAAGTAATGGGTCCCAATTTCTGGTCCTTCTATTCTACTGGTCTTTTTTTATTGTAGCCTTACATACAGTGTTGTTATAAAATAAAATACTTTTTGTGCTCCGTTGTGCAGTCAGTGCGAGTGTGACTTGTTGATAATATATCGTGTTTTGTTACAAAGAAACTGTTTTAATGTTTTTATAAATTATATTTACAGGAAAGTAGAAGAGGCGTCAGTGTTACGGCAGTGCGTCCACTCGGCACAACAGGAGGCAGCCAGTTTATTGGCTGACAAACAGGAGCTTTTGGAAGCCATGCGTATTTTACAGGTAAATATTACATTTCAAAGTATTTATTATTACATGACACTGTGTAGTCTAACGCCCGAATACTGAAACACTACTAAATATTAATTTGTATTTAAATATCGTGCCAACTCTGTCATTTTACAAAGAATTTGTAGTTGCAGAACTATACTTAAGCGCGATTTCAAATTGATTAGCCTTTCAGAATGCGGGCGTTAGGCATTTTTGGAAGTTAAAAATAATGTTTTATGTTGATTAATCCTTTATTGGAACTGGTCGGATTAGACCTCAAATGTTTTTCAGCAATTCACCAAATAAATTTGGATTGTATGTTTAACGTAAGTTAGGGTTCATATTCATGCGAGACACGACAAAGGTATAAGTAATACAAAAGGGACACCAAATAATCCAACTTGTAATCTTCTGGTGGCGTATTGTGACGTCTTAAAGCCTGAGTGGTTCCGTTGAGGGAACGAGATCTCGTTATACGTCTTGTATAGCTCTGTTTCTTTCCCTCAATGGACCCATTCTGACTTTAGGACGTCATAATAACCCCGCTGGTCGATGTACTGCCTACCTACAGGATCAATGAAGCTACATTTTTCAGTACTCTAAATGTTTTCTTCCAATTTTCCAGGAGCAGATATCAGGAGGATGTCGCGGCAAAAGATAGCGGTCGCGAGGCGGTCCCCCGCAGGGCTGCCTCGACTGTACAGCGTGCTGCGGCGACCAGCAGACGTAGACACATAAACGTACCAACCCTGGTACCACGTCAAACGGTATATTATTACGTTTGTATAGGATAATGGACGGAAAATGTACGCTTAATGTATTGTAAGCAGCATATTGGTATGAACAAAAGTTTTGTCATGTTTATAACTATAAAACGGCTGTACTGATTTTAATGAGATTTAGTTGACAGGTGAAAAATGTACGCGTATTGTATTGAACAGCATATTGGTTTGAAAAGATGTCGTAATAAAGTCATATTTATAATTCAAGAACGACTGTACTGATTTTAATGAGAATTGGTTTCAAAGAGACGGATGGAAAATATACCCGAAGGATGGATTCCTTCAAATAAGTACATGAATACATGAAACAAAGTCGTGTTTGTTGAAGAGATCAAAATACATATTTAAAACATTTTGTTTGAATAATTAAATTGTCCGATCTCAATTCCGCTCTAAAATATGGTTGAAGTACTTACATCAGCATTTATAGTGATATTTTTGTTATAAATAACTAAATAAATTGAAAAGAACGGCTTACTCGCATGATAGAGAAAAGCTCTACTAATTTCAAGTCACACCAGGGCTCTTGGCCATAAGCAGGGGGCGCAACGCAGCCAACTCAGTAGATGGAACGGTTGGTTCATTAGAGCCGGCCAATTAAAGCACCGAACGCGTCGTTTCGATTACTCTAAACGTAAAACAACCACGTACTAAGCCCTCTGACGTTTTATCAAATATTTCAAGTATTACAACATACAAAATAATAATGTTTAATTCATTTTTGAAAGTTGAATAAAACTAAATTGGCTGCTATTTACTTATTAAAAATAACATTTCATTTTTACTAAAGACTTCATAAAGCTAAAATATAAAACTAACTATATGTTGGAATTTTATAAGAAGTGTAGCATACATGACTATATTTAACTAAATGTGTGATACCTACCCAGAATCATGTCGTAGAATGTAGATATGTATAACAAAGTTATAAAATAAATTGGCCATATTGTAATGTTATATTTGTAGTTTGGTGTAAATAATAAAACTTCCTAAACAGCCCCAGAAATCTCGTTTTCAATTACATATTTAAGGATTTGTAAAATGTTGAGTCTTTATATATTTATTATAATAAACATCTGAATATTACCTCAATGTGAAAATTAATAATAGAATTCTATCCTCAATAGAAATACCCATAGTTAAACAAAAGGATCTATTCCTAAAATGGCGTCTTAAAGAGATCTGAGAACCTAATAAAACTATTATTGTAAAGTAAATAATAATAGATACTATTAAATATTTCTCATTACTTAGAAAAACTGAATATTTTCCTATTCAATCCTGTCAGAAGCCCCATTGTTACTTTCTTGTCATACAAAAACTTTTATTTTATACAAATCTTGATAATTTCGTATGTGACTCTTAGATAGTTATGTTTTAAAAATAAATATGGTTATGAGAGAGTAGGTAGATTGAATTGGTCAGCTGCTGTTGTAAAGATATTTGAAATAAAAATTACTTAACAAGCACTATGAGGCTTTTAATATACATTATCGTATCGTAAACTATTTATAATGTAATCGTTCAATATTATTTTGGTGCCAAAAGCGCAGACTGTATTTTAAATGTATAAACTATGATTTTTTATTCTTTGAACTCGAACAATTACCGTTGCGTCTTCCATGTTTTTTTTTCTATCGACGATGTTCAAAAAGACGTTCCAATTTCAAACACTTACATGTCCTTCTATCTGTAGTTCAAAGAGTAAAAATCATAGATTTATACTTTGATTTTAAAGAGGTTGTAAATAAAAGTTTTATATTTTTTTTAAATGAAGTGATGCTTTTTGTTTGTGTAATCTTAATGTATTATTGTACATAATTTTATCAGGTGACGTGATGTAGCTATTTTTTCAGATCTTTTACTGTTTATTGATAATGTATTTCATTATAAAAAATTCCATTTGTATAAGTTTTGTAAAATTAAGACGTGTTTAGTGGTATTTTTGATACAAACTAGGAAGGGATCAATTTCAACACAAGTCCTTCGGAAAGTTTATCCTTATTAATTCTCCGAGTATTGTAAAATACTTGTCTAAATGTACTCGTATCCAATACAGCTAGAAACGTCTTAAAATTCTATGGTATATAAATAAAAAAAATATCATAATATAATATTATGTATAAATCTTTGAAGAATTCAGTGAGAATTTTTATAGAAGTTAACTTTTGATAGTACATAGGTATTTACATCTCTATATATTTAGTCGAGTTAACATCTGTTGCTGTGCAGTGTCTAATACAATCATGTTGCGTTCGTGTCTCGTATGCTACTTGCTGTTAAATGGTGGTAATAACGTTTATATTTTTTTAATACAGTTGCATTATCCATAACCAGCATTATGTTAGCCAGAAGACATCTACATACACATAGGCATCTCCTGTAAAGGTAACCAATGTATAGATACTTGTATACAGATTGAGATTTGTAATAGTCGAATATATTTAATTCAATTTTCATTAATCGATTCTATATTTTAATAAGAAAAGAAATAAGAAAGTACTTAAGTTTACAGCACAAGGCATGGCCTAATTTTAAATATATCTTCGATAAACTCTTCATCTGTTATTAAACACATTTTAATTGTTTTTACTACTAAATTATTACTACCAATTAACAGATTTTATATCACTTGTTAAAAAGCAATGTATTACCATTTGGTGTAGCTCTATATATCATTATACTTAACTCTTTTACTATGTGTTAGGATAAAAAAACTTGTGCCTGTAATAATTAGGTACATATTAATATATCCGCTTTATGGTCGTTGCTGCCTTTTTATACTCTCATCTATTTAATCGATGTAACTATTAAGAAACTTGTCCTTTGTTCGTCTGTCTTGTATACGATAAAGTGACATTTAGTCGCTGAAAAAAAAGTATAGTATTAAAATTAAAGAAAAAAGGCGGGAACCGCCATCTTTTTTACTCACAGCAAAAAGTCACTAAATGTCATTTTGAATCGTTATTTTTTTAATACTTTTTTTCTGTAAGATGATTGAAGGTACTCTGTCCAAGGTATGCTGTCCCTTCGATGAGAAGACGTGTGAAGCTGTGAAGCAATCTGACTTTTAAAACGTGTACCATAAAGTTGTTGCGATTTATTTAGTTACGAAGGAATTGTTAAAATTAAATTCAATATTCTATAATTTTGTGTTTATTTACTTTATCGTTATAAATTTCAGGAACCTTAAAGTAGCCAAAAACGTATAAACCAATACCTGGGGGCTTACTCTTGAATCCAATTCTGATCGTTCGACATTGGTATTGTGATATTTAATTTTTTATATTGACATTGAGATTGGTTTCAAGAGTAAGTACCCTGGTAGAATGAAGACTATCTTGATAAATTAGGACACGGTTAGCGCAGTAACTAGATATCTAGGCCAAGGGTAACACGGGTTCGATTCCCTCATAAAACAAGATTTTTTTTGTCATTCATACGTTATTCTGGATTTGTGAATTTGTTTTAAAACGCACCCAGAACACGACAATGAAAGGGAGAAAATTACATATCAACATGTAAAAAAAACTAATGGTTAGTTTTTTTACGAGAACGTAAAGAGTTCAAAATTACAAAAATGCGAACTTTTCTATTGTAAAAAATGATTTGTTCTAATACAGTATCAAAACGCGGAATTTGATTAGTAAAATGCAATGTTACCATTTATAAAAATTTACCCCCATAGTGGAAAATAACAGTATGCATCATATCTCATCTATAAAGTTTTATTAACCAGAAAAACTAATCCGTTGATTCTATAATACCAAATTCAGGACAATGTGTGGATAGTCATTAAAGTACTTACTTGACATTATAATGTTTACCCGTGATAAATTAATATTGTAATAAATAACAAACAAATCAAAGTTATCTTTAAGCAATTGATTTATCCGAGATGGAATGGATAAATGGTTATGCAGACTTACTTTAATTTTACATTTTTCTGTGTATAGACATTAATTTTATCAAGGCATCAAAGGGGGTGTTAGAATATTTTATTATGGTAACACGAGCACACGTGAGTCAAGAAGTGGGAATAACGTGACTTTCAAACAGTGGCAACATTTTTAGTGATGGCCGATGTTTCAACTTGAACGGGATGCTAACGACCGTTGCCGAATTTTAGTGCTGAAATAAATCAAGTTTCTCATAATTCGGTGTTTTTATGTGAATATTATAAATTCTATTAACATTTAGTGTGATATTGTGTGTTTATTAGTGACTAAATTTCAAGTGTTGTTCAGTAAAGAATGTTTGTTGTGCCCTCGCTCTAACAGGATCACTGGATATTAAAATATTGGATTACGTTTTGCTGTTTATTTAATTGTTCTGGACAAGAGGTAAGTTACTGTCCTTCACGATTTTATTACTTGTTTTGTCAAAATCTTATGTGTCGGTTTTTTATGCCACGAAAGCTGAACGCGTGATATGCGACAGCCGAGCGCCCGGGCAAGATAACGGAAGATTATACTAGAGATTGCAAAGATTCTGATAAGATTCCTTTCTTTACATCAAGACGAAGCCATAAGCATACACCATAAAACCAGTCTTACGCACATAAAGCGACAAATTCCTGTAAAAACAAGTTTGAATGTACCAAACACTGAATTGAACATGCTTCATGCTCTATTTCCTTCTGAAAACTTTGATATAAATTGAGAAATCGCAGTGAGAGGTATTTACGTACCCATTAGACATTTCTTGTTACACATTCTACTTAGTTCCGCACCACAAACTTGGCGAAAAAGTCATATTTTTTCTATAAATCTTAGGTTAGGAAACTATTTTTGTCCATTGAATTTGTACCAAAGTTTTCAACATTAATTAAATTAATGTTATTTGCTTTAAATTGCCAAAACATAGGTTATTTGATACA